CACACATTAAAGACACACACAGAAAGCTCTCCAATTCATTGGAGACGTGCCTCACATGGTTTGCTTCAGCTGGTCTTCTTGACAAATGCCACATTACAGCAGAGGGAAGGAGAAACTTGGCATGCAATCAAACTTCTCTCATGATTTAAGATTTGAAATGCTTCAGCATGTGCAGTCCCTCTCTGCTCCCTCTCATTCTCTCTTTCTGCCCGAGTGTTTGCTGCTTTCCCTCTAACGTGTCTCGCTTGTTACCTCTCTTTCATTGCTCTATCTTTCCTGTTTAGCTTTCCCTCTGCTAACTTGGAGCAGAGCTGTGCTCTGGGAATATGGCCCCTTTTAAAGGAGCAAGCCACAGTTTGTGTAAGTATGTGCATGTCTGCAGACGTGAGTGGCTGTGTGCACGTTCTGCAAGTGTATCTTTGCAGCTTGTTCAGATGTGTGTCAGTCTCACGAAGCTTTGCCCTTTGCAGCTCAACAGTCCTTTAATCCTCATCACCAGTGACCCCTAACCTCTGCTTCTAACCTCTTCACGCACACACACATAACCGTGTACAACAGACCACACACACAAACATGCACATTCATGCCCCTCATGTCCCCTTATCAATGCCACATTTCTAAAGGTCTTTCCAATGCAGGCTACTCCACAAGCTGACGGCTCTGCTTTGTTGTTTTTGTTGTTCATGTCAGCAAATCATCACAACAACCTTCTTCCTCAGACATATTTCTAATAAAATCAATATAAGCTTCTGGACCACTAAAATAATCACATGCTACTTTGCTGAGCATTTTTCTATACTGTACGTAGACCACGCTTTCTGACTTTATCATATGTTATTCATTTCCACTGATAAACATTCCCAGTAATGCTTGGAGGGTGGAAATTGAAACAGACAGGAAGGTGGTTTGTATCAGCAGTGTGTGTGTTTGTGTGTGTGTGTGACGATAGACAGGCAAAGGGCACCCTGCTGTCGGTAGTCAGAAAGCTACCCTATAGCTATGTGTACATCAGATATGTGTGGTCTGAAGAGCTGAAGCCACTGTGGGCTTTAACAATTGTGTTTTCAATACATGCAGAATGTGCCAGCCTCCTCTTTTGTACTGCGCTGAGTAGCTGACATTAAAGGCATTTCTCCGCAGCACATGACAAGCAGATATGTGGTTCCATGCTCCTTCAATCAGAGCGCTCAAAGCAAACGCACATGTAGCCAAGCCACTCGCAGATCACTGAACTCACTCACACATCCATACACAACCGCTGACATACACTCACACATGCAAATGCAAACAGTCCTCCTCCTAAACTCCCTCTGCAGAGCTGCACACGAATCTAAGACTGCACCACCTGTCCTCAATAAACTGAACTTTTCACGAGGCACCTTTAGACAACGTCTGATCCTGCTTCAGAATACACCTCAGAGCTGATGTCTATATCACACTCAAACACGAACGCATATGTGAACGGGTGAGCAGATAAATGTGCCTAATACAATATCAGACACAGGTTTATGAGCTGCAGGGAAAAAAACGCTGCTATTTTTACAAATGTTCTTGATAAAACAGGGAGTAAATCATGCCGGTGCCCATCACACCATGCCAAAAAAAGAAAATCTACTTTTATGGGCTGTCAGTCACTTGCACTCACACTTTTAGTGCACTTTTATCCCCCTTTGGAGGCAGCTGCGGCTCAGGAGGTACAGCAGGTCGTCGACCAATCGGCAGGTCAGTGGTTTGATCCTCCAACTTGCATGTCAAAGTATCCTTGGACAACATACTTAACCAAGAGTTCCCCTGCATGCATTTATTATAGTATTTGTGAACATTAAGTTAGTGCTTATGCACAGAAAAGGGCGTTGTATGAATGGGTGAATGAGGTTTGTAGTAAGGAAGTGTTTAAACCGCTCACTACCAGTCGATATGGCAGCTCCGTATCAACACGTGGGGTACTGGGGCAATAATTTAATTTCAAAAATGCATAATTAAGAAATTACTATGTAACTGAAAACATTAACTTGGGATCAACAATTTATACTTGAGATACATTTGAATGGCATTTATGTGACAGTGTAATTGTGGTTTAATTCCAGCCTCTCCCAGTCTGCATGCTGATGTGTCCCCTGACTCAACACTGAACCCCAAACTGCCTCAGATGCATCAAATCACATGATTTTTAAAAAAGTAAAACATTTGATAATTAACTTCTTACAACACTGAAATTATTCACACAGTTTGTTTCAGGGAAATAATGTTAAAAATGGTGTCCAGTGCTGTGACCTCTTACATAAAA